CCAACCGTTTTCTGCCTTATCATCTTTTCGCAGTAGTGATAGGAAGGGACTTTCACTGACAGTCTAGAGCTCCCACCTCAGCTTGGCTCAGCTTTCGACCAAAACTCTTTTACATTCGAAAACTCTATTCAGATATGCTCAGAATTGTGGTGCTGTCATTATGTTTGCTCATGAACTGTCTCGCCAACCCCATTGTTCACCAAGAAAAGGTAGAAGAACAAGAAGCACCTTCTGAATTGGTAGCTAGTTCTCGTTTTTCATCTCGCCACTTCCTGCACTGTTGCACTGTCTTTCAGGCCAGTACCGCATCCGCTTTCGACTTGGCCTACTCGGCTTCGGTATCAACATTCCAGTGCTTCAAGCAACTAAAGTACAATGTTGCTTTCATTAGGTCAGTTATACACTTTCGTTTCGATACCTTCTTAGATATAAGGACGAAGAGGCTCCAGTACATCAATATTCTCGTTCGTTAGCCGAAGGTTATCCTTGCTAGCAAAGAGCCTATGTTTTGAGTAGAGTTTTGCCTTACAGAGTGCCTAGCGAACTAACACTCTTGTTGGCTTCACTCTTTGCCGACATTAGGGTCCCCAGGCAGAACTTATAGATTCTTTATCGAATGACTCAAATCAAGTAACAAGTGATTGTAAGCTTGTTGGTGTACGCCATGCACTTGATCAGAATTCAATACTTCGTTGTATTTGAATGCCACTGTCCAATGTCCCTGTAATGTCTTTAAAAGCCTGACTTCGAACGAGTTAGTGCAATCACGCTCCCACGCAGTTCTGATATCAATACAACCAGCCGGGGAAAAATGATCTAAACGACGTAGTTGTGGTCGATCTAGGCTCATTCGAAGCTAAAAAAAGAGCATCACCATGGCACTATTTTTGCAGAGTGATCACCGTAATAGGCTCTACCAAAACTCTGAATTAAAAAGTCCACACCAGTTGGAAACTAGTCCACACCGTTTGTTTACCGTCTCAAAAAAAAGTGATTACAGAGCCTACACTGGAGATTTTCAAGGGCAGATTGACCCCTACTCTGTCACCAACATCCAAAATGCCGCTGCTAGTAAGTGTCCATCTCGTTAGATGCATTTTCTGTTTTTTTTTTCTAAAATTTGATTATTTTAGCTGGACTTGGTACCGAAGTCTATATGACCCCTCAGCCTACCTCTTCTAAGACGGGAGCTCAACAATTTGATGAAATGTACAATATGCTAATTGGAGGGAACATTTACATCAAATCCATATGGGTGCAGGTACTATTCTCAGTGTGTGTCACGGCAATGTTTTTGGCTTCTTTCCAAAGCAATATTACAAAGGATTCTACGAAGTTAGACTATTGGACAGCTTAGATCATTACAATTGAAGTATTGGAAAGAAATAGATTAAACGGTATTAAAAGCAAAGGTTGAGGGCGTGGGAGCAGTAATAGGGGCTTCTGGGTAATAGCGTTTTATGAATCCGCTTTTGCCAAATCGATAGAAGCACTGAACTTCTAGGTAGTGTCTCCCGATGACTGGACCTCATCCAGCACTACCAACATCAACTTCCTTAACAGCATACTTACTCGAGCTATGGTGAGTGCATGGCTCAATTCTGGGCCCATTTGGGCAGAAGCGACATGTGAAGTAGAATAGTGCGTAAGTATTTCCAGCAATTAGGTCTGACTGTTGGTGTCTACACGAGCAAGCATGAATGGAACCAGATCACTGATCATGCCACCACTCTGAATGTCAGGTTATGGTGAGTGTTTCGATGTCTTGCCCGTGTCAAACGAGTGCTTCAACACGCTTTTTCACCTGAGCTCTTCCCAGAATCAGTAATTGTGCCATACTTTCAGCTTCTTGTAGCTCTAGGCTCATTCAATAGGCAATTACTATGTGGCCGGCTCTCATGCGCTCTGCTCCTCCAAATAAAACAGCAGTGTATGTGATAGGTACTGGAAAACGAATGGAAGTGGGGAAGCAGACGAGTCTCCAGCCAACTTCAAAGACTTCAAGGAGTTCGGCAGCTGGACAACTCCTACAGTGAAACAATACGGACAATTCGAGACTATCTGCGGATTGATTGTGAACAGGTAGGGAAATGATCCCACTTTTAACTTTTACACAGAACCACTAAAACATAGTTCAACTTTGGTAATTGTGGGATTACAAGCACCGCAACAGTATTTCCTCCAACTAGTACCCATGTGGCCGTCTGGGAGAGGTCAACAGGTGGTATTAGGACGAAGAACTACTAGTATCAATCTTCTGTCCCATGTCCAACGTATAGCTCGGAGCACTACTTCGTTGGAGCTGGGTCGGAAGAGCTGGTTAGAGTGGACTGTCACTGAGCTAAGTCTAGCCATTACGTGGGAGCCCTACTCACCCCATGACTTTTAGTTTCCAATCAGCTGATATTCTCAAGGCCTCATTGATTATTTCCTTCAGAACAACTTCCCGATTGATTTCAGAGATATCTACAGTACATCATCAGCTGTAGCCGGGGATATGGCACGTGAAGAGACATCTGATAGGATCGTCGTCGGTGGACTAGGACTTGAAGGTGTTCCATTCACTGGGAATGCGAAAATAATTCCGAAATAAGTATACAGTAATAAATATTGATAGTGAATGTGTTGTGATTACTGACTTCTGTACCTGAAGTAGGGCGCGACAGGGACGAATGGAGTTTTCACCAGCGCCTGCGAGAGGAAATCGATGATCAAGGGGACAACAGGTAATAGGTGACTAAATTCGATTCCGATCATTAAAATTGGTTGGAACTGAAGAGGACACTTTGGAAAGCTCTCAGCTCTCAGATCTCCTACAGTATTAAGCTAAGCGAAACTATCTGCCGAAGATTTTGAAGTAGTCCGGTCTCCCGGAATTTTCGATAAGCTTCTACAAAGTTTTTCGAGGGCGCTGCTCACGCGTATAGGCTTATCATATCCAGCTGTATCTTGACTGCTTATATAAGTATACAGTGATCGAACGGTCTACCCATATACAACGTGTTCTTCTTTACGGGCTCGAATTCGGTCACATCGCTGTTCAAACCCATTGAAATATGTGTGAAGCTCCTGCTCTGGAAGCTCCTTTTGAGTGGTTCTGAGCCACCTTGTTCCAATCTCCACAGCCTGATACAAAAAGATTGAAGATGAACTGTAATCTGGTCAACCGACTGCAATATCAGATTCCCCTGATATTTTATGCGAATACGAGCGTTCTTTTGAAGTATTTATACAAGAGCTTCCAGAAAATCCTTGAAAAATCCTGAAACAGTGCGAAAACTTTGACAAATACTTCTCGTACATTTCGGCTACTTTTCAAAGCAGAGCTTTCACTCGAATCCATTAATTCAATCTAGCAATGGGACATTCATCTGAGATAGTTGAATAGGTCTCAAAAATGAGGCGATCGTTGACTATCCCAGCAAAGACCTATCAGCTTCACATTTATTGGAATAGAGAATCGGAAGGTGAAGGAATCTAGGCAGTCTTCGGCAAACAAATGTTAGTCAACTTGGTCTCGATCAAATATCGGTCACAGGCTATCCCCTACATTACCGTTTGCGAGTTATCAGCGTTTAATGGAAGTGATAAGAAAAATTTTCTAGTTTGATGGCGTGAAAGAGCTCTCGTCGACGCTGTTCTTCATTCTAGTGTCATGAGTTTCAATTGTACTACATCTAAAAATATTTGTCTTCAAAAAACTCTCTTTCAGAAAAGGATTCGTTGTGGCGATGCCGTCTTCTGAACCGGTAGGAGTACTTTCTGTTTTCTGGAGTAGTACTGTCATCATTTGACCTGCTAGTAGGCTCTAGAGTTGGTTGCTGAATTGACGAAAAGCTTGAAGTAAACCACTATCCTAATTTTGGAAGAGGGATACACGCAGATTCTACTGACTGAATAAGTTTTATGAACAGTTTAAATGGCTATAAATGCATATACTCACCTGCTAACTTCCTTACCTACACTGTATTCGAGGGTAAGCCTGCAAATAGGCGAATCTTTGCAAGATTTAAATCATAAATTGGCCGAGGTTATCTCTGGCGAAGGTCATCCCTTATGGTTACTGATGCAAGTGTTTTGAGAGCTGCTAGGAGGTCATTTAACCACTCTAACTGGTCCACTTTGTTTTTCAGTTCGCATATGCTGTAGACCTAGCTGTAACAGCACCTTCGACAATATCGACGTCAACATTCAAGTGCTTGAAAGAGAACCACTACGATGTAGTTTTTATCAGGTCAGTAAGTGGATTACTTCTCAGTTGGACTCCCTAGATAGAGCTTAAGGGACTTCCTGGCTCTAATGTAGAGTAGTGCTCAGAAACTATCGTTCCCTAAGAAATGGGTGTTTCACTTTGCTTGAGGAGGGACGAGCACCTGGAAAGAACCCACTCTAAGGCGCACGCGCGCCGGACTTATGCGTTGCGAGAATGACATACATTGTTCAACTCTTTAGTCGTATTTCGATAACAGAGAAGGCCCAATCATCCTTCGAAGGTTGAATGGTTGAAAGCGGCTTTACCTTACCCTATTCCGGTCCCTAACCACTTTTCAACTGAAAAATTCGAGAATTTCAGAGGCTATACTGGATCCTATCAGGGGCAAGTCGACCCTTTCTCAGTTTTGAACATCCAGAATGCCACTGCAGGTAGGCTGCCTCATTTGGAACTATGACAACAGCTGCAATTTTTTCAGAATTAGTTGCCTCAATTTTCAAGGAAAAACATTTTCATCGCTTATTAATTGGAAAATCAACTTTCTTTCAGCTGGGCTTGGTATTGAGGTCTACATGACCCCACAACCAGCTTCTGCCTCTAAGACCGGTGCTCAACAATTTGATGAGATGTACGAGAAGCTACAAGACGCCAACATCAGTCTTCGTACTATATGGGTGCAGGTATGAATAAAGAGTTCAACAATGAGACTTTTTCCCGGATATTCCCCCAAAAGTTCATTCCCATGCGGGATCTCACGACGACATATATGTTCTTTTTCATTCCAGTACTCACATTTTGAAGGAAAACAGGAAGCGCCTAGTGGTGCCCGATAACACCCACACTACGAAATCCGTCGAGGTCGACAAGTTTAAAGCCAACCGGGACACCTATCCCTTGAACTTTAGAAACCACTGTAAGGCCCAATAGCGGTTATAGCGGTTAATAGGGAGAATGAGCTCAGGGTTAAGATCGGTAAAATTGAATAGATGATGGTAGGATGCTCATACCGAATCTGGGATTTATTCTCCACCTCCCTTCCATTAAATGTGGGCACTATCGACACGTTCATAGAGAAAAAGTAAGATATCGAGGGACAGGGCATGCTTCAGGTGACCTCACGCGAGGACTGGTCCGATTCGAGCACAACTAATGTCAACTTTCTCAACAGCATTTTCGAACGAGCTCTTGTAAGTGAAGAGTATCACACTTAAAACTTGGATACTGTGGTTAAAGGGCTTTATCCTAGGAACATAATATTTCTATCGGTATCTACACGAACAGCGAAGATTGGGACAAAATCACCGACTCGGCCTCTACTAGGAATGTGAAGCTCTGGTAAGTGCTCCCTAAGGATATAGATTTGTAGGAAAATTCGAAGAAATATGTGTAGAATTTCCTGAGGTTGGTACGGTAGCTGACTAATTTTGGCCAAAATGGGTTAAGCGAACGTCTGGAACTCAGTTCGTATCTATTAATGAGGCCAAAAGTAGCAAAAGCAATGAAGTCTTGGCCTGATTAGTTGCCGTTGAACTGGAAGTGTAGCTCTTTAGCGTAAGGATGCTCAGATGACTTGAGTCAATGTTAGGGGTCTTTCACAGGAACAAAAGGGCTGATCAGGCCTACACCAAGCTCTTTTGAGGAGCCTATCCATAATCACCTCTTCTAAATTGTATCTGCCCTCTTTGTAGGTACTGGAGCGCAAGAGGCAGTGGAGCAGTAAATGAGTCAGCGCCCAACTTTGACGATTTCCAACCATTTGCCAGTTGGACGTCGCCATCGGTGAAACAGTTCGCCAAGTTCGAGACTATCTGCGGAGTTATTGTCAACAGGTGGTCATTAATGTATAATGTTAATATTAATTATTTGAATTATTCAAAAACGAGCAAAATTGAAGCCAAAGCTCCCGTAAAGAAGTCTGAATCGCAGTCAATCACTCGTTTGAAAGGCAAAACCTCTAATTTTAGAAGCTGTCGATTTTTTTGTATGTTTTTTTGTTCGTTCATCTAAATCTACACAGTTTAGGAACATCTACAAAACTTTCCCTGCTGGTTCGACTGGTCAGGATACCTCTAAACCAATCGTTGTCGGTGGAGTTGGACTGGGAGGAGCACATTTTACTGGAAGAGCGGAAATTGTACCTTAATGGAAAACTAGTGATAAGAATTTATCGATAAACAATTTATTGTATGCCAATCTGGACTTCTCGATTTTCAGCAACTATACAAACTAAAGTACTAAAGCAAGATCAGTTGTGTGAGGCCACCGATTGACTTTATCTGGTGGCATCTGGGGCTCTTAGTGGCCTGCTGATCTGGAAATTGTGATTTTTTCGAAAAGAACAGAATGATTCAAAAATATCTCCGAATGAAAGCGAAACTTCTTGCCTCCGATGAGTTACCATCACAGATCGAGGAATTAGAATAGTGGCGGCATTTTATGATGTAGACAGAGTTA